TTGTTATTTATAACTTTTTAGTTTTGGCTTGTTTTATTTCTTCTTTTTAAAGTTGAGCTTTCTATGTAATTTGTTTAATAAGGAATATTGTTTGTGACAGTTTGTTGAATAGAACCGTTTTTCTATATAATACCATATCTGCTATTATTATCTTTTATTTGTTTATTCCTTTTTTTTTAAACTCAATTCATATTTATTGACTTATATTTTGGAATAAAGTCTTATGCTAAAAATAAACCTTGATTAAGTGAGGAAAACTTAAAGGTATTTTGTTTTTAAATATGTATGTTTTTATATAAATATATTTTTATATAAATGTAAATAAACTGCGTAATCTGATGTCTTGTGGGTAAAAGAATGTCAACAGAAATCAATTAAAATGTTTAAATACTTATTAAATTGTTCGAGATAATGTTTTGTATAAAAGCACACAATAATTTTCGTTCGTTGAGTTAGAATTTCTCGAAACAAATTTACTATGTGAACGTGAAATAATCCTTACCGGGCCTTAATGCCTAATTTAAATAAAAAGCCAGGACGTATTCATGGCGAACGAATAAATCGAATTAATATTTCTAGAATTATTTATTGGGTTTCGTAAAATTCGATTGTGGATAGCGTAGATTTTGTTTACAAAATCAAGAGTTTTAGTATTTCACAACACGCTGTTTTTGTTTACATGTTGTGTTTACTGAATACCAAGGATACATGATCTCTGCCGAGAGATGTAAGGCCCTGTTTAATACTATTTACTTATAATTTGAATATCTATACCCAAGGTTCTTCCACCTTGTTCCAATTTTCGAAATGTATATGACATATACCTATTTCCACCAAGAAAAGACCTTTTTGGTTTCTGTTTTCATGAGGATATGAAGATGAAATTTGACAAAATCATATCCTGATCGATTGAGAATCCAAAGCTAAGAAATAAGCGTGATCTGCGCACATGCATGGAAAGAAACTGAAACAACCTCAAAAAATACTTGTAATATTATCATACTTTCGTTTACGATTTAAATCCGCAAAAATATTTTCGCAAAAATTGAGCCCAAGTATTTCCCAGGACTACCTTAATGTTCGTTCTAAAAGAAATTCCAATCGGTTTACTAATATGCCCACAGTTAACGGTTGATTGGTGACTTAGTATGTGTGCCTGGTCTTACGTCCATCGAATGATTTTTAATGTTTTCAGTTTTTGTATTTTCTAACGTCAACATTGCGTACACGAATTACTAGTATACAGCAGATATTTATTTGTATTTCTGTGTTATAGCGATAATTATAACGCACATACCTTGCAAATAGCGATTATATCCAGAAAAATAAGTATCATAAAAAATGTATTACATTTCTCACAAGTGTAATTCTTTCCCACAATTGAATTTGGCAAATTTTGCGTCCGTAAACCTTTTTTTCAGTGTTTTCAGGGCGAAATTTTAAATTTAGGTCTTTACAAAGCGGCTTAGTTCCTGCCGTTACTGCATTCACTAGCTCATTATTTACTTAATTGAAATTAATTTGAAATGAATTAGAATACAAACTTTAACATTAATTGCTGACACGTTAGTTAATCGATTGAGACCACTTTTGAATGGAAGATTCAGATAGCTCTAAATAATACTTATGGAAAAACTTTGTCTATATATATCTATATGGAATGTAAATTCTAGAAGAAAATATAAGAAGCTTTTCAGGTTTTTTAAAACTTGCATCAGCTTCTTGTCGATTGCAGGTGCGTATGTCAACAAAGAGAAACTATTTTTTAACTTTGAGTTCTTAATTGATCAACAAGTGCTTCTCCCAAATGTCAGCTTCTTATAATCGTTTTTCCGGCTATAGGAATTCGATCAAGGAGACGGTCAAAATGATTTCTCTTGGTAGAAACAGGACGATACTTCTACTGTTAGGCCCGCGCATGCAGATTACAATCAATTTTAATGTGTTATGCTGTAATAACGACGTTCTGAAGGTCAATGATATACAACGCGTCTACTTGAATTCGTTATTAGATCTTAAATATGATTTGTATTATAGTTTACGATTCCTTCTACCCGTCACTAAAGTATGTAAGATATACTTGACCATTTCTACCGGTGGTAACGTTCAGAAAATGACAAACACAACTTCAACTTCTTCAACTATACATATAAAGACCCTTAAACTATACATATTATTATACCCACCCTCTATGTAAAGAATCGGAATTTGGCATATATGTCTTTAGCTGGGGACTTCAAAGCAAATTTGAAAGCGAACGCAGCCGTGTTCATAAACTCAGTATGCAAAATGTACTAATTTACAATCCAAAAAACGTACAGAAAATATATGTCACGGCGTTTAATACTTTAGTGGAAGTAGCGGTAGGATCACTCTATAAACGGTCATCCTATGATGAAAAACTTTACTCAACTACATATAAGAAATACTAAATTAAAATTTGGTTTATATATATCGAGAATACGCGAAAAACGCGTAAAAATAACAAACTAATTTATAAATTTAACGACAACAATTTCTGAAAGAAATCACGTTACAATTCTTTCAATCAACTTTGGAAGAGTCCTTGACAGAGTTAGTCCGCAAATACTTTTAAACCTTTTGAAATCATATCGTATTGGACTTAAATTTTTCAATCAAATCAAATCTTTCATGTCACATAGGCAATTTAAAATTAGAGTTAATTGTCATATTTAAAGAACTTTCTTCCTAGTAAATTTGGATTCTCCAAGGATATCTTCTATCTGTTTCACTTTTCCAAAATGTTTTCAATGAAATAAGATTCTTCGCATTGTTTATACGCCGATGATGTTTATATTTAACGTAATAACGTGACAACCATTAATATCCTAGAAAGTATTGCGGAAAATATTTTAAACTGGGCTAATTTCTCTATATCAATATATAAATCGAACAAGTTGCGCATTTGTAGGAAACGCCTATATGATGCGGGTAATCGGCTTATGCGAATAAATAACTTGTTAGTTTAAAATATGAAAACGCTCAAAATATTGGAGCTCACACTTTCAAATAGGTACCGTCGAAAACCATGCGAACTTCAATTAAAGAATTGCATTCAAACTATGGTGAACTTCATACGCTGCATTGCTTGGAAAGTTTCGTTCACGTGAACACCATTGCTTATCTTAATAAGCTGCTCGTTTTTAGCAAAATCGAGTGTGGTTTGATCATGAAATGGGTTTATTATGCTTTCCGAATTGCGCAACATCACGACAACATTATTGTCGAGACCGATCTTTCAATTACAAAATTGATTGTAAGAGTTGAAATCCAAAATAATCCCGAAAATGTTCAACTCTAGCAGTTCAATACTAGGCAAGGATATTTGAAAAGCTGTTATTGCTAAAATAAATCGCAAGAAACCAATTAACTCCTGTATACATGCTGCGGAACGAATAACCCACCTCCTGAATGTTTCCAGAAAATCGAAATTGAAACCACTGTGGGCTTTAAATGTCAACTCTTATGATATTTAATTCTCAACATACAAAAAAGAATAAAAAAAAAGAATCCCTGGAAAAACCCGTGGCTTGCAAAATAGTGGTTGGCATTTTTTTACAGGCGGTTTTAAGAGCGAAAACCCGTGCTTTGCCTATGCAGTAGCGACTGTCATAGGTAAAGCGTAAATTAATTATAACCGACATGAAAGTGCGTCAACATTTACAGCTCAAGCTACAGCTATTGTTCAGGCCACTAATCTTGCCTGCAAAGCTAAATTTAAAGCGGCTATCGTCACAGATAGTTGGTCGTTCTCAAAACCAAGGATCATTGTGTATGTTTTTATATTCCGCCTTATTCATCGGTTCGATTTGGTACGTTACTTAAAGATAAAAATAATTTAGGCTTGATGCAATTGAATAATATATACGATCCGGTTAAGAGAGTGCTGGATTTAATATATTCGAATATAAATGATTTGTCAATATCACATATTGAGCCTTTTGTCCTGCTGGAAGATGTTTTTCACGCGACTATATGTATTTCGCTTGATATTTAGATCGATAAACGGATCATTCCACGTCCATACGTGACCTTGTAAGACGTGAATACAACTTTTATAAAACTAATTATAAAATTTTGTACGCGTTGTTAAGTAAAGTGAACTGGGACGGTCATATTGCCGATCTTGAAGCTCGTTTCAGTTTCGTTTATTCTATTTTGTCTCCGTTTTTTCGCATTATGTGCCCTTAAAAAGGATCGACAATAGAAGATGCCCACCTTGGTGGACTAAGGACCTCAAGAATTTAAAAACTTACAAAAATAGACCAAAAAATGTAGAAAAAGTGGTTGTCCTATTGTTTTGGCTTCTTAAGTTGTGGCCAAAAACGAATAATAAGTATTACTCGCAATGCTTCCGAAAGTTTTTATAGGTTTGTGAGCTCGAAAAGAAGAGCTTATTGATATCAGAGCATAGCACAATTTTATGCTAGTCAAACTGTTCCCAATTTTGTTGGCAATCCTTATAACATTGAAGACTATAAGATTTTTTCTAATATCGGATTCCCGAATTTTCGAAGGTCTTTGTAAATTTTCTCGCACTTTTGGTCTGGATGGTATTCACGTTAAGTTCGACGATAAACAACCCATTGAAAATTATAGAGGCGTATAGAGACTTTTCGTAATACCTTTTTGAAAATTCGTGACAAATAGACTAGTTATTCATATTAACTCAGTTGTCCCACTATATCAACATGGTTTCATGGGACATGTGTTGTAATCAGTTGTTTGATGAAGTTTGTCCTGGCCTGGTAAACTGCCTCTGTTCGTATCTTATGGACTAGATGCAAAGACTCTTTTTTACTTTTACTGGCAGAATGGCGTAAGACAAGTGGAATGACGTTAAATAGAAAAAAATGTAAACCCACGTCTTTCAGGAAAGTGCCCCCTATTACATTTATTTACAGGAAGCTTTTGGAATCGGTCTTGTTATGCAACAACCTCGATGTAATATTTGATGCTAAACTGGATTTTAATTCCCCTGTTAAATCAATTGTTTATAAAGCGAAGTGTGTGCTAGGTTTTACAAAAGGGTGGTCGAAAGACTTTGATGATCCTTACGTAGCGAAGGGACTACATATCGTTGGTGAAGTCCTTAGTTCAATATGCGTCTATATACCTTACAATTATCACGTTGAAATGATCAAAGCAATTCAAAAACTATTTTACCTACCTGCCTTATGTGAATTGGGATGGGATGCTAATAGGCTATTATTTCCCTATGAACATCGTTTACTTCTAATCAATTTACCTAGTCTTGCGCGATAGAGACTGATCCTTGGGGTAGACTTTTTAATGAAACTTGTTCAAAGGGGATATTTCGTCATTATTCTGGCTTACTAGGCCAGATTTCAATCTCCTTCAAACGTTATAATATATGGAATTTTTTCTTTTCCGAATTTTATGCAAACAATTTAATAATTTGTATTATTTTTTCTCGATAGAAGATTCAACGATTATGTGAAATCACTGCTGGTTGATTTCAACCATTGCATTTAAATAGCAAATAGATTGGTAATATTTTGTAAGCTTTTTGTGTTATACTAACTTCTCATTGTTGATATGAGTTTAGTTTGGCTGTTAATTAGTTCTGACTTAGCTCTCAACATAATTTTAAGTAAATTTTCATAAATTTTTTTAGGTCACCTGAATGTCGTCATCTACGTTAAAATGAATTTTTAGACAACGTATTGTCACTATATTGTAGGGATTTAACACTTACCGCTAGGTTTGGTGGAACTTACTGCATTTGCATATTGTTCAATATTTACATTTTTCCATTGGCTGTGTAATAGGTAATGCTTTATGCAAAATAAGCAAATAAATAAATAAAGCTATCCGTAACCCTTTACATTCCTAGTAGACCGCCAGTCGCAAAGTAAGGCATACCATTGCCGCTTACGGAGACAAAGTTAATATATTTTTGGATATCCAGTCATATTCGTTACTTGGGAAATGAGCGAGCAGATTTAGCAGCCAAATCCGCAACTTCGGCAATTTTAATTATGGGCAGCACTATGGAGAAGTTTGACCTTCAAAAATATATTAGAAAACAAGTTAGGGAGGAAATTGCTGAAAAGAACGGAAAGTAATACCATGCACAACACCTGCATATTAATTCTAACCTCTTCCCACACCTATATCTAATCATCGTTGAGAAAAGTAAGGTCAAAATTTTTTTCAAGAATTCGTCTCGATCATACTGCAGCATACTAATGCATTCTTAAGAAATCTAATCCTCTAATTTGCAATTATCGACAAAATCTTACGATTAAATATATAATTTCTGACTGCCAAAAACTGTTCAGTATTCGAAGATTCGTTTTCGAAACGTCCGAATCTACGGACATTTTGTACGTGGCTAATATAATATCAAAAAATTATTTAACTTTGTTAGAGTGACAATCTCGTCTGTCTTTTAAAAAAGAGAAGGGCCGATGGTCTTCGTTGCTAGTGCTCATCCTACTTTTGACTTCTAGAATTCATTTCTTTAGTCTCGTAAAATATGTATTGATACAAATATTCGATCCAAGACGACTATAAATATTTATGTTTCTTAATTTTAGCTTTCTTAGATTTAGTCATACACACATGTTAATGTTTTTATATTAATTTTCAAATTTAAGAAACAGTAATTGCAACCGATAAAAAAATCTCCATTTAAAAGATATCTGGATTGTCCGTATAAGACGATTGACATTTTTCTTCTGCGATAATGTTAAGTATTATAAGCGACTACTTATGTCATTGGCTTTTTATGAGAAAGGTGACTACATTTCTTTTAAAGAATGTTAAGTAGTATATATTATTTCATATTTTTAAATTTACCGCCGAAAGAAGATATATTCATTATGCTTTTTCTTGTTAGCTTTGCGAGTTCTTCTATTTCTCTTAGAAGTTGCGGTGATAGAGGTAAAGAGAATGAGATTTTTCCACACAATTTTTATTACCATGAAATTGAATTAACTTACACGGACAAAAAATTACGCTCAGAAACTATTGATTATTTCAATAAATAATTTGTTTATGATGCCTTGGCTTAAAAAATCCCAATTTTAAACGTTTGAAGAATTTGCGTTTAAACAACATGAAATAAGAAAGCAGCAACAGCAAGGAGGTCAGATTTTGCTAGCTCATAAATGGCGAGCCTCCGCGTAATTGATGTTCACAAGTGTTTGTTATAGTAGGCAGATATACAAAGCTTTCAAAGGGCGTGTGTATCGATTGTATCAACTGCATAATAAGAACACCAGGCAATTAAGACAACTCGCACGTTTCACATTTCCAAACGAAGGCCATCTGCTATTATTAACTGAAATCTACTAAATTTGTTGTTCTTGTTATCAAAGCCTTTTATTTATATATTTTTATATATATTAAATATACTAAAAACTTTTCAATATGTTGCTATGGTTTACTTTATCAATGAATGCTTTTTCTATAATGCAAATCATTTAGAAACCATATTTATTATGCCTGGAAAAGAAATAATCGATTAAAAAAATTATTGAACCTCACTTTAACACAAAAACAATACATTAAAAATATTACATTTATTTGTTTATTTGATTGCTTTAATTTTTTATTTGTCATTGTATACCGCATCAAATCCACACGTTGTAAGAAATACATGTACATCAAATTGTTGAAAATCGTCATATTATATTATTTGATAGAAACTACAATATCTTACTTTTAGAGATTAAGCTCATGTAAAAATTGTAGTTGCGTAATGAAGCTATTGGTCTAAGATACCGCGTGCTAGTACTACGAGCAATAGTTATAACTTATCTATTAGACTGATGATCAGTTAAAAAATAGTCCACGACATTATTACTTAGTTGCTTGTTATGTCTACCTCTTCACAAGTATTAGTTTAACAAGCAGGTAGGAGATACTCGTTTCCTCGGTTTGTTTACCATTTGGTGGTCGGACTAATTAGGGCACAACTTTATGTGCTTCCTTATATTGCAAAACTAAAACTATTGCTTTCTAATTTACGTTAATTTTTTTTGCTATTTAATTTTTAATCAGCGACACTACCAATAAGCCGCAATCTAAAAGAACGCGCAGATATTAAATAGATCTGAAGGATACTATGCAAATCTGTGGCAGTCTTATAGCTAAAACTATTTTAAAAGTGATCGAATGTTTCTTTAAAATGCAATTAAATGGGAGCAGAGTTAAATGTATTAGTGGACAACGCTCCTTCATTAACTATGGGTAATTAAGTTGGTCGTGTAGACGTTAATGACTTGCCAACGGCGAAGAATTGCATCTAGTCCAGGCGTTATTGTATTTACGATTTACATATGGAAGGTTGTCAATTGTTGATTTCGCTGTGCATACTATCTAAAAATTATTGTCTTTAAATCACAAAAATGTAGAGGAAAACGGGTTTCTTTAGACAACAAAGAATAATTTTTGAAGATTATAATGCGTCGGCTTAGAAAGACACTTTTGCTAAAGTTAAAGAAGTTGCAATCAATTTCCGGCAAGTCAGGATGTTATAGCAGCCGTAAATGAATATTTCAATAAGGACTTGAAAGGGGAAATCACTGCAATTTGTAGAAAGTAAATTTTTTTACTGGCTTAAATAATCCCTTAAATTGTCAAGAATAACAGTCGAAAAATTTTATATTTCAAACATAACAGTATAGCATATACAAATATTTCAAACCTTAAACGCATTCTTATCGAAACACAATTTTTCAAAACAGCATGCAGCATAACTCTAAAGATTATTCTGTCCGTTCATCAAACATTATTTATTAGTGAAAAGACTGCCTTTTCTTAGTCAAAAGTTGAACTTTTTCATTTGAAATTTTCGCAGGAATTGAAATTTTTTAAACCTTTCTCGTACATTTACGGGAAACATTGTTGGGAAAGTTCTGCCGTACTTTACTATTTCACGTGTCAGATGAAGCAGCTAGGATGTCTGTTACAGTGTTTTCCTCTTAAAGGAATTTGCTTTATAGATGGATTAATTGAACTAGAAATTCCCTACAAAAGTTTATAAATTTAAGAAAGAACGTTCAACTCATTATTTCTTCTTATTGTTGGGCTAAGAAATTTGTAAACGACATGTTCAACGTTTCCAATTAACGCAGAGTCCAAAATAGGAAAATTCCGATATATTCAAGAATAAATTTGAGAAAAGCACGGCTGTCTTGTATTGTCCGCCATCATTTTTGAAACGATTGTAAATTATTTTAAAATCTTTATAGAAGTATTATAGGTGAAGGATTTCACAAATAATGGTAAATAGCATGATGTTATAGTTGTAATAAGAATTACGAAAATAAAAGTGATTTTTCGACCCTTGTATTTGTATGTTACTTCAGGTTATGAAAATATTTTTAGGGTATATTTTAGAAAATTTTCAATTAAGAAACCTTACTTATTTAAAAACTTAGAAAAGAAGTTGCCGTAAGGTTTTTGTATTACTTGACTTTTCATTTTGCGTTAAATTTTGCTTTTTTATAAGAAAAAGATGTATAAAATGTGAAATTGAATTAATTCTATGTGTCTGTTCATCCGTAGGCTGTTGCATATGGAACAAAATTATCTGTAGGATTGGCTACTATTCCATATAAAGACCTTAAACTTGATGAAACGTCGCCATTTAAGGTAAATTGACAAACGTTTATGTGTTCTGGAAATTTCTTGCAATTCGCTTTAAAAGTTAATTGATTGGCATATGTTGACCGTTTGCATTTCTTTTAAACATCTCTGTAAATGGGTCTTATTCCTCAAATCCACTGGATTAGACTTCCGTTTTTTCAACTTTAATGTTCTGTATCAGCAATATTATGAAAATTTGAAGGAAAATGATTTCAGTCATGATTGTCTAACGTGCCGCATGCGAATCTTATTTTCAATTTTATCATTTAATATTTAAGGGACGGTAAAAGTGGCATGTAAAAATATGTAAATTAAATGAATATAGTTAAACAAACCTACTGTATATAAAATATATATTAGCAATACAATTCGTTTTCTCATCAGTTCGGTTCTTATTAGTTGTACATAGTTTTCTTACAAATTAGGCAATTATGATTTAATATTAAATTCTTCAAATTCCGGTTTTTATTAAAACAATGTTGCTCCCTGACTTAAACGTTTAATATAGATATGATAACCGTTATAATTTTAATAATCAATGAGAATGTATGTTTTCAGTCTTCCAAATTTCGAGATATTTATATAATAAAATTCTTTTTGCAAAAATAAAAGAGTCGATTTAAAGTCGAGTTAAAAATGTATTTTTGCGTATAGTAAAAGCGGTACACGACGCAATAAACATGTTAATAACCTGGACTTAAATCCCCGACTTAGTTTAATGCTAACTTTATTCAGTTTCAGCATCGATAAAAAATTTTTTTTTCTTGAAGCGCTTCCTATAAACATTTATTTAGTAATTTAAAGGAAAGACGAAATAGTATGCCTTTGAGTGTGGGGAGAGACCTTGTCAAACATTCTTCAAAGACAATTTAACCTTGTTTACTATTCGCCCGACGTCTCCCGCCGTAACGACTAATATGGCTGCAAAGAAAAAAAAAACAAGTTAAAAAAGCTAGATAAGCGTATATTTTCGGTCGACAAAACGCTTTGCAAAATATATTTTTGTATCCACTTGAGATGGTGGATATCCGATGTTCACCATAAGGCGAATATATCTTTTTTATACCTCATTGATTGAAATTCGTATTACCTTTGCCCAGTTCTGATCCCGGTAGCCTGTTGATTCGAAGCGAATTAAAGTCTAGAGTGCGATTGGAATATTTTGCGATAGCTGTCGTCTCTCATTTTGTTACCTTAATATTAGTAAGTGTGAAATTGCGTGTTAGAAAAAGAGCGGCAGACAACTTAGTATGTGGGCATATTTCATATATATTTCAAATACTTTTAATGCTAGCAAACGGAATGACAAATTTAGAAGACGTCAGCTAACTAATAGCGATTAAATTAAAAAAAAACTTTTCCTAAATATGTGACGAGATGAAACGTCGCGACTGAATGAACGATTACGACGATTGCTTGCCCTTTGGAAACTTGTGCACACAAATTCTGTTACAAGTTTCAATTGTTTTTGTGTGAACTGAAAGAAGAAAACACGAAAGGCCGTAACACTCAGAATACGCTAGTATAATTGTGCCGACTAAAACAAAAACTAGTCTGATAGCAGCTGGCTCGGGTCTTAAACGTATTCTACGCTTACACCAGCTGGTGTAAAACATTTCGAGAAACTCGCGGAGCTTAATAAAAAGAGAAAATCGTTTTAGTTTGTTTAGTGTTTTTTCCCATTTCCTCATAAAGCTTTCACACCAACCAATAATAACAACGGAAACAAATAAATAAAAGTTTTTGCATTATATTGAACAAATCAAACGACGGGTATTACGTTGTGCAAATATCATTCATATCATTAAATCAATAAATTATTAGTAAAATTGTATTCGACTTAAAATTGTAGAAAAATAGTGTGACCGGAACTGCATTTCATAGTTGGTCAACTATCGATTGAAATTTAAATTTAGGGAAAGTTATTGCGATCCTCTTTGCTTTATTGCTTAAAGCATACTATCTGAATATGTTGCGCACTGGAAATGAATTTAATGTATTGCAAAGCGAATGTTATCATTTGCATCAAATGGCGGTGGCGGGTGATGTATTGGAAGATTTCGTGGTTATATTTGGTGATATGATGAATCGGGTATGTAATTATTTAAAGCTTTGGAAATATATTTGCGCCTTATGAAAAAATATTAATGTTTTGAAACAGTGTTTACATATCCTTTGTTATCTTTGGTTTTTACTTGCTATATTTGAACTGCTTTCTGTAACAGATAAGAACTATGTCGCCTTCACATTGAAATATTCTTTCCATTTTAACTTTAACGAGGGTGCTGGATTTTTTGTTAATTTTCAATTTTTTTTTTTTATTTTTCTTTTATCTTAATTATTGATGTATTTTTCGTTTTATTTAATTTAATTTGAACAAAAAAAAGGTTCTCTTTTCGAATTGTTTTTTAAGTTATTTATAAAATATATATGAGTACACATGATTATCTGGTTGCCTTTGCCTCGTGACTTTCCGTAAAAGATTCGGCTTTTGCAGTTTAGTTACTGCACAATCTGTTGCTTAGTATTGACAATGAATTGATTTTACCTTTTACAATATGAAAATCAATATGCGCGTCGTTTTCTTGGCGGTTCATTCGTTTGTCTTAAGGGCGCCACAAAGTGAAATGACTTTTTTACATCCCATTTGCTAATAATCAGGCATAGTGTGCACATGATTCGACTAATGGTTACTTTCTTGGCATTGTTTCATTTACAGACCCATTAATTTTGATAAACTTTTTATATGCTTTATAAATATAGGTTTAATCAACGATTGATTGATAATTAATCCATTAATAACCGGCATTCGTCAATTCATTAAAATATTATATTGCCCATGAAAATACAAACAAATTCTTGGCGGAGGACGTTTAAAGTGAAAACAGTAACTCTATGTGAAAGTCATTAACAATTAGAGCAATAAAACTGAGAAACGAAGTGGAGAAGCTAAGATTCTGCAATTATTGATAAATCAAACCTATTCGCTAAATTCGCTGTCAGTTCTAATAAAGAAAATATATAGACTGTTAATTTTTCCACAAAATTGCAGCCTATGTATGTATAAAGCAAAAGTAATCAAGTTAACAGTTGCGACGTTCCAGTTGAATTTTTATGAGGAGCTTTTGTAGGCCCTAACGAAGATTGTCACAATCTATTTTTAAAAAGATAATACATATGCGGTCACGATTGACATGAAATAGTGAATTTAACCATGTTCTTCCTGCCCGAGAATTTTTATGGTGCATCCGCCTCTAACGAAAAAATATTTTACTTGCGATCCCCACATCAAGTGTAAAACCACACACCAAATTATTTTGAGATTTTTATAGGACCACAGGAATGCACTTTTTTGGCCAACTTGAATTTTTTAAAATTTGCGTAAATTGAGTCCAACAGATCGTGGACGATTTAGGCGATTGCCATGGATTTAACCCATGTCCAGCGGCCATGTAGATATCGTACATGAAGATATTGTACATTGTTGCCGACTACTTTTCTTTATCATTTTTTTCATTACTATATGAATTCGTTATTGCCTTGGAAAGTATCCGCGAAAGAACTTAGATTAAAGGGTTGTCATAAAAGCTCTACAAGCCATCACCCATTGCTTCATGCTTTTGGTAATCAGAAGGGACAATGTCTATTAAACGCAAAGAGGTGCAGTCATTCTATCATCGTATTGAGGGCATTTGTGCCTTCTAACATTGACATGGGTGGTTTCAGTCGACAAACTCAACTCAAGTCAGTCTTCCAAACACAAACTATAAGTTTTTCTCTATGATTTTTGGGATCGATGTTAATGGTTCATCTACTTTTCATTTCAAATTATCGAAACGCATCATCTTTTGTCCCTTTTAACAGGTTACCAGCACTTCTTTTGAAGGTTGTCAAGGGTTCTATCGGCTTTCTCACCGTCTAATTTTCTTTGGGGATACATAAAATACCATTTCAAGGTTCATTTGTGAATTCAACGTAATGAGTCAAGTTACAGATTGTTAATTAGGTTTTTTTGAAAGACTTTCAAAAACAGCTGATAGCGAGATAGCGAGTTTTTTGTATTAATTCTTTAACAAAATTATAAACAAAATTTGCATTATCGAAACGTGAATTTAGGTAGTATTATCTATAGCAAACCGAACAACAACACAATATTTCTTGAAAGTTGTGTGAGTTTTTATTACACAGTTTTAATCGTTCTACATGTTGTTTTATATAGAACAACATGAACGATTATGTATAATAATTCGGTTGGCAACATCGTAGAATACCATGTACTGATTTGCTTTTAATATAAAAATGTCAGATGCAGATTAATCGAAGAGAGTGAAGTATGTACATAATGGCGAAAAGTGTGTTTAGAAAATCCATCTTTGTAAGTCATTCAAAATTTTGTTCAATCAAATTTGTCTTTATTGTTTTATATAATATTTGTCCTTATGCATTTTGTGAGACTTGTCAGTTCTGGTTGTTCTTTTGTTATACTTTTCCTCTTTTTAATAAAAGTGATTACCAACAGGAGAAATATAAGCATTTCTAATCATGTATCTTAATCAAAAATTATCTCATTATCACTTTTTAAAAGCTAGCTAGCTGAAAGAATTGTAAAAATGAAAAAATTGTGCTTGTTTAATTGATCTCAATGAAGAAATGAGTAAAATAAACGGCATTAAATATGTCGTACTCAATTAATAGTTGTTTCAAAAAGTTTGCATATAGTCGTTTGAGAAAAGTGAATGCAAAATTTGTATAAACTTATTGCGTTTTTTTAATATTTAGATGTATGATAAATTTTCGGCTTATTTTCTTATAACAATAAGTGCCTTTTAAAATACTCTTCGCTAGGAATCAACGTTTGCTCCGTTTTGAATATCAGATGCATTCCTCAGTAGAAGGATGATTCATAAGTCGGCAATCCAGGAAACCGTACTGATGTCTATTAAAGAACTAAAAAGTTAATAAAGCGAATTGTTCGGCGTCAACGGGCATGAATGCTAATAAGAGAGGCAAGGTAACTCCTTTCGGTTAAAAAACTGATACGTTTACTAGATCAGTTAAGCAGTATATGACCAAGCGTCGTTTTGTTCAAAAATCATTTTTTGATGCCTTTGCACATATTGTGGCAACAATTCGCGTTTACACTCTCGCCAATGATGGCTTCGCCGAGTTTTTGAAATTTTGCTATATTTAGTTGATTCCACGAAATACGGATTCGGAAAAAAAAATACTTTTGATGTGGAATGAGTTGAGGTATGTTCAGCACTCAACGCATCTATTTTCCATCAATCTAACTTGATGTATAAATACAAACACAGCAAACACTATATTCTTGGGAGCTCGCACCCAAATTTAATAATTACTTAATCTGTGTAAGATTTCTAAAAATCTTCTTTTTATGATCTTTTTTTAATATTACTTTCGGTTGTTTGTTTTCAAACTTTTCAGTTTTTTAGCTGTACTTATCCTCAACCTTTGTTGCTACGTTGAGTTGCAACAGTAGTTTGTTGGAATAATAAGCTAATATTCGCTGAAAAGACAATCCATTTTCAAATGTTTTAATCCATCCAATCCATGTTTAAATGTTTTAAAGCTTGCACTAAAGTTCGTCAGTGTGCTATGCCTCATTTCAATTTCATACACAACCATGTGAACGTAGACATATGAATACGAGAAGTATCAACGTGTTGCATATACCCGTTTCTATGAAAAAGGATCATTTTAGTCCCCTTTTCTCGAATTTCCACAATTGTCAAAATGAAGATAGGAAGCCTTATCGATTAAAAATAACATGGGCATGATCTCTGTATGTGCACACGGACAATGTAGGAAAAGCTAAAACTGCCTTGGAAAAGCACTCAACTTTTTTACACGTTTGCCTGTAAGTTTTGATTCCGTGAATATATTTCCAAAAAGTTCTAACCATCACGTTCGGTCGAAAAATGGTTTCTATCGGTTTATAATACGCCCACAGTTAAAATTGTAATTCCAATTTATTTTCAATTTCTTCACTTTAGCACATATAAGAATATGTGTGTTTTCTACAAAAACGGTAGTAACCTGCCGCTCCGATCCAATAATAGAGTATCGAAATTCCGTTCATTTTTTTAATCTTTTTTTGGATTAAAAAAAAATTTGGTAACAACTGAATATCATTTTTTGATTTAATAATGTTGATATTCTCATACATGCATGCCAACTTGTTACATTAGAAGATCTTTAAGCAAGCTCTCGATATATCATTCCCGCCTCTTGCTTCTTTTCTAAAAACGTTTAAACCGCTACGATGTTACGATATCGTCTTTTCACATAAATCTGTATCTCGTGCGGCGTTGCAGCTGTGAGTAGTAGTAGTAGCATTATGTAAAAATACTCGCGCATGTACGATAAGTTAATTATTATTCCACGAACTCAATTGAGTATGTTGTCTATCATGGTTTCGATTTGGATCCAACGTAAAAACAAAAGGAATTCGATTCGCAAACACAATATCTTCGTTTGCTTTTACTCTTAAAAAGGCAATGATAGCACATAGGTGCATTCAATTTTTCGTAGTGTAAGATTTCAAATTGGTTTTTACATGGCGTGCTTCCCGAATGCCAATTATTTCTAATCGAATTTCCACAGTTTTGAAAGTTTGGGTAAGAAGCCCAAATTTGACAAATTCCTCCTTAGGCGAGGGTCATTAATCAAGTTTCAAAAAAGGATTACCATCCACCCACGAACGCTTACAACAGGTAAAAATGGAAAACTTAAATCTTGTAACTATTGTTGTCAAGAACTTAAAATTCTTAGGTAAAAATATTTTTAGAGGCATAAGAAAATTTAGTAGAAGAATAGTCCGGAAGACCTAACGCTATGTCCGTAGCTAAACGTTGCTATGATTACGGGCTTATGCAAGATCCGCCTTAATATGATTCTATCATCTCAAGAAGCCACAAAAGAATTAGGCGAGAGGCTAAATCCACTCAGATTCATAAGGTAATCAAGAGCTTTTCTGTGTGTATTTAGGCGAAGTGGTGCATGGTCAGAATTTCTCTGACGGAATCGTTTTATTTTCATTTGCTATATGCCTATGAGCTGACAGTGATTTCAAAGAAAATGTATATATATAGTTTTTGCTTTCTTTTCGTTACCGATTTGGTGCCCGTGATTTTTCAAATGTGAATCAGCTTTCCTGGGGCATAGTTACGTTTAAATTTAAATTGTGTTGTTGTCTGTTGTATGCAGCGTGTACATGTTCGCTTTTCAAAAATACATTCTGTTTTTAAGGGAAGGCAGAAAAGAACAAAAAGAAACATATTTCAATTTTTTTTTACTAGATTAGCTAAGCATAGAGTGTGTTGCCAATTGCGTGAATTTGCTTTAGAAAGTGATGGCAAAAGAAAAAAAATTTAACATAGGACGCATACACGAAGACTTTGACGTTTAATTGAAGAAAGCCGAAAAAAACAAAATAAATAAACAAAGCGTTTAACTGGAAAGCACAACTAAAATTAAATTAAAATATATTAATTAATAAGAATGCTGCAAATACTACAAAATGAAGAGCTTGTATGTATGCTTTGGAATTTTTAAAAATTGCTTTCTGTTGTATAATAATTAGACAAATTTTATTTATAACCATTGCCCCTAACAAAAATTGAACCCGTTCGTACATTTTTAAATTTTAATGTATTTCTTATTTATTATTCTCTGTTTTTGATTTATTGGTATATGTTTCTTATCGTTATATATTCATATTCTACGATTATTTGTTATAATAATTTGGTTTTTTTTTGCCATTAATAAATTATTTATTTCTTATATCGATTTGCTTTTGTACCATCAATTCTTTTTATTATTTTTTTATTTTATTTACGTTTTTCCTTTGTTTTTATTTTTTCTAATGTTTGTTACAGTACCTCGACATTGGCGAGGATATGAACGTACCTGATGATTTTACACAAATAGAATTGCAAAGCGGCATGTGGTGGCGTCATTTAGCCGCTGGCGGCATTGCCGGTGCCGTCTCGCGTACATGCACTGCGCCATTAGATAGGATTAAAGTGTTTTTGCAGGTATATAAAGTGAATTTTCAATCAGATTTAAAAACTAAACATTGATCTAAATTTTGAATTTTCAGGTTCAAACACAAAAGACAGCAATCTCAGATAGTTTAAGATATATGCTCCAGGAGGGCGGTTTACGGAGTATGTGGCGCGGCAATGGCATTAATGTATTAAAGATTGCCCCCGAATCGGCCATTAAATTCGCGGCCTACGAAAAAATCAAACGACTGATACGAGGCGAGGAAAAACGGCAGATGAGTATCGGCGAACGTTTTATGGCTGGCGCCGCTGCCGGTGGCATTTCGCAAACTGTCATCTATCCTATGGAAGTATTAAAAACTCGTTTGGCATTGCGTAGAACGGGTCAGTATAAGGGTATTGTTGATGCGGCAAAAAAGATATACATCCTCGAGGGCTTACGCAGTTTTTATCGCGGTTACATTCCTAATATTTTGGGCATTATACCTTATGCGGGCATAGATTTGGCCGTTTATGAAACACTAAAAAAGAAATATCTTAGTTGTCACAATGATGAGCAGCCCAGTTTTCTGGTGCTATTGGCCTGTGGCAGTGCGTCCAGTACACTAGGTCAAGTGTGTTCATATCCACTGGCTTTAGTGAGGACACGTTTGCAAGCTCAAGGTAAGTTAAAATCGTAGTATAAACATCGTATAGATACTATTACATAGTATTTCTTTGCACCCATTACCTTTGGTTTGCAAAGCATGAAGCGCACAAGTAATGACACAGCCGAAGGCGCTTCAGGTTTCTGTTATTTCTTCAAGTAAGTAAAAGAGAAGAACTTGAGGCCATGTAGGGACAAACTCTTAATTGGGGACAACCACGCATCGCCAATGTTTATCATAGATCGCACAAATATTTAGCCAGACTAAAATCATTACTAGGTTTGATGTTCCCGCAGGTGTAGTCATACTGTAATTTTCAAATGAAGGCAAATGGTAAAAATAAACTATAATTTGCAATCTTAACCAGATTAAGATAAAAATGATAAAATAATAAAATAATAATAGTAAATTGAATTGTATCCGAGATTATTCCAAATGTGAACATGACATAATTTTTTCTGTTTCAGAAAAAACAGAAAAAATATAAATAATACATATATATATAATTTGTTCAATGGAATGCGCGTGTACGCACGCCGGCTTTAGTTTTGACCTACTCATGAAGGAAAGCAAGAAAAAATTTCGTGACCTGTGTTTCAATTGTTGTGTGCTTGTTATTTGTATTTATTATGGAAAGTGAAAACGTTTATCTTTTCGTATATTTCGGCTCTATAAAAAGTTAAGCCAACAAATGTTTTGAAACTGTGCGGTGTTATTTTTGTGCAATTACCGCTCTCACATCTAATGTAATAACTTTTTTTTTTATTTTAGTTGTGTCCAAATACACGTATACTACCTCGCCCTTGGGTGCCATTCCTATGAAACAAGCCGGTGCTGGCAACGATGACAATATGATGGGGGTGTTTCGTAAAATTTTACGTACCGAAGGCATTTGTGGACTATATCGTGGCATTACTCCGAATTTCATTAAAGTGCTGCCAGCAGTTTCCATTAGTTATGTGGTGTATGAATATGCCAGTAGAGGTTTGGGTGTTAATATGACATGATGTGTTTACCATAATACATACCCCTACTTACAAATACGTCGTTTGCATCTAACTCAAACTAGCAGCGATGCGTGCCCTTTTTTACTTTGTGTTAATTCTCTTTCAACACGTTTTTCTACTCTTTCTCTTTTAAATACAACGTGTTTACCATTTTTTTTACGTAGTGCTATTACAAACAAATATTACTAATGTAATGTTAATATTTTTTAATAGCCTCAATTTAGCCTAAATTATAAAGCAACTTTTTTGTAAGTAAAACAAAAACAAACAAAATTAAAGAGAAAGAGGAGGAGAATGCTAGAATGAATATGTTAAAAAAGAAAGTAGAATACAATGTAAAAACAAAATAAAAATAAACTTTCCTAAGTGATACTAATGCTAGCAATTATAAAGAAACACTTGTATACCTAGGTATACAAGTATACGTAAAAACAAACTAATAAGTGGTTAAAAGCACAGAAAATGAGAAAAAGTCGAATAATGTTTATTTAAAAACCAAAAAGTAAATATTTATTGTTGTTATTTTAGATATATTTTTTGCTAAAATTATATGGATTCTTTAAATTAGTTCTTATTTGCTATAATCGGCTAAGTATAGGTTTTTTTGATGTTTTTTCTTTTGTATTTAAAACTTATGTAAGCAAATTTTTGGCTGAATGAAAAATAAAAGCAAATTAATTTTTCTTTAAATTAAATTTATTTTTTTTAGCTTTAAATAGCTTTTAATAGCTTTAGTTCCTCTTTTATCTATCTAACTTATTTAACTACTTTTAGTTCAATTTCTACTATTTTTATAATACTTTTTGATTTATGATTGGTTTGCTAAAGTTTTTTATGTGTGGTTTTAATATTTATTTTTATTGTACAATATGGATCACAAAATTAGTTGTGCTAACTTTGTGGTTGCACCTTTGACATTTGGAAATAGGTCTTAGAGATAATATAAAACATACTGTGAAAAATAAGATGAATTTATATATAAAATGAAAAACTTGTAGTTATCCCTCCTAACTAACTTTATCGCCTTTATAATACTCATATAATATTTGTTATTAGCAGTATTGAGCGGTAAAATTGTGACCTGACGCTGTAGTCAAAAAAGTGTCAACATGTCAAAAGTGTCTTTCATGATGTAGTTGTAGTCGGAAAGAAGTTTTCCATAGACTTAGTAAAAACAGAGAAACTCACTTTTTTAAGTGTTCTTATAAACTTTCTTTAACCACGACAATCAATAAAATTGCCATGAAATTCCAGACAAGTGTCAAAGATAACACGTCCTACGCATGAAAAAAAATTTATTTCATGGTTTTATACTCTCCGCAATGCGTTAACGAAAAATTGACCTTATATTTCTTGCTCACAGTGTTGTATGTTTCCTAGATTGGCTTAGAGTTTTAGACGGAATTGTACTTTGCCATAACTACGTGCTTAAATATAGCCTTCAGAAAGTTCGGAGTAAGAACCACATCGAACTTTAGCTCAATAACGAACATAATACAATAAGTATTTTTTATGTGCATTATTTTTGGTTTTTAATGCCTCGTGTTCCTCTAATTATTTTGTTTATCCGTCCTACATGAAGTCGGTCAAAGATTTAGAACTCATGATCTCGTCTTCAGTTAATATCACGTTTCACGTAAAAAAAAATTAATAATTAATGCATAGTTGATTGAGGGTAAGTTTGGAAATGAATGTTCACCCGTTTAAATCATCCACAATAAACAGAAAAATGTAACCTGTTGATGTTGATCAAAGATCTATAATAAATAGATTGAATTAAAAAAGAGTCTACGATTTCTAGGAAACAGTGATTAAAAACTTATTTTGCGAGCCCATTTAAGAAGTCAAAATGAGTCGAATCGGCTAATTAACATGCACCCTTTTAACAAAGCTTTTTGCAAATGTATCTGCAAATTTATAAATGTGGGTAAAGCTTCGCAGAAGGCGAACATAAGTTTATTACGTGTTTTGCTATGTTAAAGTTAATCCATATGTTTGCCTGTATTTGCTCAACATATACATGAGAATTAGAATAATCACAATCATTTCCTTATGCTAGCCATGGTTTGAATGTTACAGTAGCATATTACAACCGCGCATCTACACCATATTGTAATTGTGCAAATAGGTTGCTTTTGCTTTTGAAATATGTTTATTATAAATTGGTAACGAAAGAGCGAATATGAAAATAATTTTGTTCATTTTTTCAAAATAAATATATCAGTTTTTTAATTTTTTATTTGATATTGTACTCTAAAATATACTGGGTTTTCTTCTGCTCTAGATAATACCTAGGGCTGAATCTGATATTAGTAGTTAACTTGATGTCCTTATTCTCTCTGGTTAATAAAAGTAGGGAATATTTAATGCTGTTTTAAATTATATATAATTTATATTGGAGGAGACTGTCAAATAAACTGCTCAATGAGAAGCAGAAAAAGTCTTCTAAGAAAGAATACACATAAAGCTCATAAAACAACAACGAGGCTAATACTAAGATTATAACTCCGACTAATAAAACTTTAAAAATTTATAATAAGATTTCATTTTTTTATTTTATCTAAAATAGCATTTAATTATGAAAAGCGATATTCTTTATTAAAATCGTTGCATATATAGAATGAACTTATTTCGGTACAGTAACATTTGTAAAAAGGAAGTTTATGAAAATTTCTAAAAGATTGTGTACGTCGTTTGGCTTTGTCCATGCTCTATCTCAAAAGAGTAGTATCCATAATAACGAAGCCGCGTTAAGTACAGTTTCTTTCCATAATTCCCAGCTCGCATAGTAGCGTTATGTAGAGAGAGAGAATTATGAAAAGAGAACAAAGTCCCACGTCCGTTTGCACAGAGGATAGTTTTCGGTGAGTGTTTGTTCTGGTTTTAAAAAAAGTAAAAGGTGGATCTAAAAAGGGAGGGGCGATAAGCAGGTGGTCATAATATTCTATTCTTGAATATTGCGGATGTACGGCTGAGCAATATAAATAAATAAAATTACTTAAAATTTATACGCTATTATTATCTAAAAACATATATAAATAAAATAAATAAATAATTTAAAAGTAATTGAAACGATAAATTCATTTTGAAGAAAATACATTTTGCACGTTGTTGTTGTGTCCTATATGTGAACTTAATTGCGTTAAACATTGCACATATAAATATATATAATTGTAAAAGCGATTTCTTTGTATTTAGGTACCTAAAATTTATGTACCCGTTTTTTTATGATTGCCTTTACTATAGAACGATAAGCAAAAGTGAAAAAGAAAGGGCAGACATCTAACATCGAAAAGTTAATAAATAAGGAAAATAAATATGAAAAGAAATTACGGAGTTTTATGCATTTGGAAATTGGAAGAAAATTTTGTAAGAAGTCCAATAAATCGAAATCAAAACAATATGAAGAAGAATTCTTTCAAACCAATGGAGAACATGTGTGTATACTTGGGGGCCCAATCAAAATCTTCTGTGTTCTTTATAACCTCAATTGGTGGTGGTCGTCTTCATATACTCCTATTATCCCACCATTTTCGATGTGTCGCTATCGTTTTGTTGTCATCATTGTCGTCGCTGTAATGTGCTTATTGTGAATTGTGGGCACTCCCAACGGAAGAAGTTGCAAGAAAATAACGTTAAGGTAGGGTATTATAATGTTACAAAAAAACTAAGCACCCTACAGTTTCCTTGAAGACTGGTGTGTGCCTGCGAGTATAGGAAAATGACCATGAATACTGACTAACGGACGAAGAGACTCGCGGACAGGTCATTTTTGACTTAAAATTTTTTTTGATATAAAATATATATGTATATAAAAAAAGAAAAAAAGGAAACACGAATGTGAGCTAGCTAGCTGGCCCAGATTTGTAGCTAGGCTACAAAGAAAAAAAAGCCCAGCTTTACACTAACCACACGTCACAATATCTTTTTATTTTTTCATTTGCAAATTCTTTACCCAAAAAATTTTTATACTTCCGTAAATTAAAGACGCTCACTTGATTAAACATCTAACTGAAATAAAAGCATTTCAAAAAAATTTTTAGATTTTATACAAATGGTGGTTACAAAAGTGTTGTCGATTTAATAATTTTACGGTGATGTTAATAATACGCCTTTCATGAGCCACTGCGGGGTATTATTATTATTGGAATTTATATTTGATAATTCGATTCTTTCGGCATTTGAGCAACTTGCGTCGTTCCTAAAACAATGGATCAAATTTATTCAAAAAATATGGGACAAACTGCTCGTAATCATACGAAAGTCAGAAAGGTACATAATCAATCATTAAATTTGACTACTACTATTATCACGACACTCAGCCGAAATACTTCCTTCGCATCTCCTACAGCCGCAAATAATTGGATCTAGAAGAGAAGGTTTGAGAAGTAAGAGTAAAGAAATGAACATAAATATACACGATCAATGTATGACACAATAAGATTAGGAACTAATTTTCCGAATAGAAATTCACACTCATCAAAATAATAGTAAGATTTGCAGCAATGGGAACTAGCATTCCTTCTGGACTCTTGACAATGATCACTGACAAGCAAGTCGCCGAAGAGCTGGTTGTCTTACGTGTAATGATCATGATCACGTGAAATACGCTGATTTGTTGAATAGTACCGTTTTGAATCGTGTAAGCTGTTTACGCAATTATTTTTTGTAATTAATAAACACACAAATTAAGAATTACATTTAGAATATTGAAAAGGAGAATAGAAGGCGAATTTGACGATTGAGGCAATATTTGATTGATTTTATTTACAAGTGTGATGAAAGCCAATATTTTTTTTTTTTTTTGGTATGTTGAACAGAGATGGACTAAGCCAATAGATTTGTGACTTATATGTCCAAATAATAAACTGTTGTAATTTTTAGTCACGATTATGTATAAAACGTAACAAAAAAATAAGAGCGGCCGTGATAACTGGAGTGAGCATGTTAAATGTGATTGTGTGTGTGTGTGTGTGTGTGTAATTGTGCTTGTTGAGTTCTTGAAAGTTAAACAGTGTTGCAAACTTTGGCTGAAAACGAAAAGCAATGCTATGGTAATAGAAGATTATTAAACGCAAAAACGAAAGAAAAAAAAAAAAAAGGAAAGAGGAGGCAAAAAAAAAATAAAAAAAAATTCTAAAAGGATAAATTAGCTTTTCTAATAAAGCAAGTTAGTTCCCCGAGATGACGTACATTTTTTGCTGCAAAGAGATCGAGGAGACAGCCATATAACTTGAAGAAGCTAAAGGAATCTCTAATGCCATCAAGCCTGTGACATCTGAAGATT